GCTTATGATGTCAGACTTATTTCGCGATTTGAAATCAAATTAGTTTTCATTAAGATACGAACAGCGAACTTTAATATCGATTTGCTTTCATTTTGTTAACCGACATTACTCGGGTAGTGCCTCCGCGAATACCGAAACCACGTTAGGTGACTGGAATTTCAATTATCTCTCTTGTGAACGTGCCGCGTATACATTATTGATATTGGTTGGTATTAGTTGATTTTAAGTACATTGAACTGAATTTTAGAAATCCTATGGTATATACATAGGGTAGATGTTCCAATTGTGACTTTACGTTCCTATTATGGTGTTTTCCGATTATGTATAGCCATAACTGGTGCACCTTCCCTACTAGTTTCCCATTTTTCGTTGATACTACTAGCGGACATCGAGAAAGGGGATGCTGATGCTGAACATTTGATTTGCTTCTTCACTTTTGTTCAATTTCACAAAAGAGCGTTCACTAACAAAGGGGCCTTAAAGGTGGTTTGTTAGACTCTTTCACGGTTGTTACAAATAAACCTGTGCGCCACCGCTACCGCCGATGAAATTGAGCTTCTGAAAATTGATTGAAAAACAACTCAATTTAATTAAAACCAGATCTACTCTAAATTGAGTAACATAGCCAGAACTGAATTTTGACTAAAACGGCTAGGTATTTGTTGATGAGTTATTTCTACTGTCGTGTCCGCCCGCTACCAGCACGATGGCAAGGAAATTCTGTTTTCTTAATGCGACTGTATTTGGCCGATTAAAAATTTCCTAAAATATAAATTGCTTTATGGCGAACTCGTTTATTATCGGGGTTGGAACCAGTTCCAACCCAGTGCGAAACCGAACTTTTTGTCAGTGCGAACCTCAACCTGAGCTAGGTTTTAAAAACAAACGAGCAAACTGACGTTTGTCGGAAAACAAGCAGACCCAATCTTGATACCCGATCCAGGTTGGAACTGAATAATAAACGAATTCGCTATTAGTGTTTAGTTTTTTCTCTTCTCATAATTGATTCCAATCGTACATTTAGTGTTCCTTTCGAACTTCCTCACTTATTTCCAACGAATATCCTGGCAATTATGTTGAGTGCTAATCGATCCGTATGTAGCCTATTTTAGAGGGTTAATTTCTAAGCCATAAGTGCATATATTGAGACGGGCATGATAGATTAGGTTCGTCTCGACTAAGACTTTCCAGACCTTACTTTTACAGTTTGGGCTAGGTTGCTTAATAATCTCTAGCAACATTTTAACCTTAATTCACATTAATTTTTGTTTCTTACCTAATACGAAATGGGTAGAGAGAATCTTCGTTATTCTAACCCTTAACTGTAGTTGCTAGATTTCCCTGTTAACATAATGTAATTATTTTTAGTTCTAGCTGTAAGTGCATGTTGAATTCACACATACATACCTTAGTATAAGTAAACTTTAAGATTAATTTTAGGCTTTATAAATTTAGGATAATAAGACAAAAATTCACTTTAAATGTACTTAGGAAGTTTCTGAACATGACCATGACTTTTGCTTTCAGATGACTTTTTGACAATTCTTCTGACAATTCTGACAGTTCATCGTCCCTATCGGAATGGCTAGACTCCTATTGACATTTATGCCTTCTATTTTTCCACGGGCCTAGCTCTCGCGGCGGCGCACGCAACATCTACGCATTTCCATAAATCCAAAATAGCAGCAGAGATGCTCAATGCTATCCGCTCAAATATTGCATCAACTATTCTGTAATATCTGGGACACCGCGACTTTTCCGTCCGTCTGGATGCAGGGCGTCTTATTGAAAGTCCCAAAGAAGGGGGATCTGACTGTGCGACAATTAGTGAGGCATCATGTTACTGTGTATTGTTCTCAAAGATCTGTGCAAAGTTATCCTTAATCGGATACAGGAGAAGATCGACGCGACTCTCTGGCGGCAGCAGGCAGGATTCTGTGCCGGTAGATTTTGTGTGGACCATATTGTCATGCTCCGCATCATCCTGGAGCAGGTCAATGAATTCCAAGAGTCCTTTTATTTGGTATTCATTGACTACGAAAAAGCGTTCGACCGACTCAATCACGAAAATCTGTGGGGCGCCCTGAGACGCAACGGAGTCCCGGATAAAATCGTCAGCCTCATCAAAGCGCAGTATCAGGCTTTCACGTGCAGAGTTCTGCATAACGGAGCCTTGTCTGACTCTATCCGGGTCGTCGCTGGTGTGAGACAAGGATGTATACTATCACCGCTACTGTTCCTCATCGTAATCGACGAGATCATGGTGAGTGCAATTCACCGTGTACCGAACCGTGGGCTGCTTTGCAGCATATCATCATAGAACATCTCAACGACTTCGATTTGGCTAATGATATGGCTGTACTAGCACAATGGTACTTTGATATGCAGAGTAAGCTCAATAACCTAGGTGAACGCTCCTCTGCGGCGGGTCTCACCATCAACGTCAACAAGACCAAATCGATGGATGTCAGCACGGGCAATCCTTCCAACTTTACGGTAGCGGGGAAAACAGTGGAGAAGGTCAAAAGTTTCCAATATTTTGGCATCCAAATAGCGTCGGACGGCGGGACCAAGAGCGACATAGGTGCACGAATCAAGAAGGCTAGGGCTGTCTTTGCGAGTTTACGAAACGTATGGAGATCAAACCAGATCAGTCAACGCACCAAAATCCAAATTTTAATCTCAAACGTGACTTATACGCCAGTGAGACGTGGTGGAAATCAGCAGAGAACATTCAGAAGCTGCAGGTCTTCATCAACCGATGCCTACGGTATATACTTTGTGCCTGTTGGCTTCACAACTGGATCTCGAATGCCAAGCTCCATCCTCGATGTCATCTGAAGCCGATAGCAACAGAAATTCTAGAGCGAAGGGGGAGGTGGGTCGGCCACACACTTCGTCGGGGCGGAAACGAAATCTGAAAGCAAGCGCTGGATTGGAATCCGGCAGGACATCGCAGCAGAGGCAGACCCAGGGGCTCATGGCGGCGGAGCCTCAACAAGGAAATAAGGCAAGTCGATAGAAATCTGATCTGGGCCCAGGTGAAGACAAAAGCGAGCAGCCACCCAGGATGGAAGCCTTTCGCGTTGGCCCTTTGCACCTCCGGTGGTGTACGTGACCCTTAAGTAAGTATCCTTGGTTGGCAGCCTTGGTTCGGAAAGTATTGTGTGTGCCCGCCACCAGCACGCCAAGTGAATAAGTTTTTAACATAGCTGGGCTGACCGTATCTGCACGTCGGTCAAGCATCCACCCTAACAATGTGGATAAAACAATCTTTATTAATGTACAATAGACCTGTTCATTTTAAACGAAATGTTCGGAATGTAACGGGTCAACCGTGATTACTGTTCGTCATGTTAATTTGAACTTTTGTGCAAATTTTCAGCAAAATCGGTGTTGATTTAGAGGTGCTTCTAGTTAATTTTATGTTTTCAAGGTAATTTACGGCTTATAATATTTGTATCTCGAGACTGAAACAACGAAAGCTGCTGTAACAACTTTCATAGCAAAGCTTAATGTGTTATCTACCAACTTTGTGGCCAAAGGTTGACTATTCGAAGTGATTTTATTGAAGTTTGACTTAGTTTCATGCTCGAAGATATCTTAAAATGTGAAGAATTTTAAAGTATTTGTTCTACGAATTTTCCACCCATATGATATAAAAATGTGTAGTGTACGGCATAATGTTCCTCATATTGTTCTAGAAGTTTCGTTCCAACATAGTTTTCGTGTATATTTCATAGATTGAGAGATAAAAATCAGAAAAGAGGCCGTTTAGCTAAAATTCACAAGACAACAGAACCAATAAAAGTCAATTAGATTGACAGAACATAGTTGCATTGCTTTTCAATGACGACCGATGACTGTTTCATTGATATATGATTTTTTCATAAATATGAATCCTCAGTAGACGTGTTTTTTATCAAAGGCAAGTGTCACTCGAACCATAACAGCAATTTATAAAATAACGAACATTTTGAATGGCTCGAGTGACACTTGCCTTTGATAAAAAAACACGTCTACTGAGGATTCATATTTATGAAAAAATCATATATCAATGAAACAGTCATCGGTCGTCATTGAAAAGCAATGCTACTATGTTCTGTCAATCTAATTGACTTTTATTGGTTCTGTTGTCTTGTGAATTTTAGCTAAACGGCCTCTTTTCTGATTTTTATCTCTCAATCTATGAAATATACACGAAAACTATGTTGGAACGAAACTTCTAGAACAATATGAGGAACATTATGCCTTACACTACACATTTTTATATCATATGGGTGGAAAATTCGTAGAACAAATACTTTAAAATTCTTCACTTTTTAAGATATCTTCGAGCATGAAACTAAGTCAAACTTCAATAAAATCACTTCGAATAGTCAACCTTTGGTTACAAAGTTGATACATGACACATTAAACTTTGCTATGAAAGTTGTTACAGCAGTTTTCGTTATTTCAGTCTCGAGATACAAATATTATAAGCCGTAAATTACCTTGAAAACATAAAATTAACTAGAAGCACCTCTAAATCAACACCGATTTTGCTGAAAATTTGCACAAAAGTTCAAATTAACATGACGAACAGTAATCACGGTTGACCCGTTACATTCGGAACATTTCGTTTAAAATGAACAGGTCTAATGTACAATTGGGTTCTTTAATTTATCCAAAAAAGTGTATTTTTTTATTTAGTATGATAGCGCGTCGTTTTCTGAACACCGTAGTATTTTTTTCAGATCAAATATATTAGTAATTGATCATTAATTTAATAAAAACCTAAAATAAAATGATTCATTGTTTGAACGATATCTAACAAATTGACAGATCGACACGATGACAGAAATTGGCCTGTCGCAAATAGTTGCTCCCTACTTTTTCATGCTTTCTGGTAGGGCTTCTTCATTTGACAACTAGCTTTTCTATCAGATTCTGATCCTTGTTTTGTTTTCGTTTCATTATTTTATTGCATAGGGCACATACGTAAAGCACAATAATCCGTAATGGAAACAGGGTACTTGAAAGCCGACGTGAATAGTCTACCTAAAATCGACTTTTATATGGTGCAGCACTTTTTGTCATCGAACGAGAAATTCCGAGATGCCAATAAAAGAGGAAAAATTGATCGGTATGACTTTGATGAATGGTACCTAGAAGGATAGAGAAATAGATGGAAATAGTATCAAATTTTCATTACAGCTCCAAGAATCCGGACTATTTTAAATCAGCTATTGGAAGAGTGCAGTATAAAGTTGATGGAAATAGATTCCGAATTAAAGCAAAAGTGGTTCCGGAACACAAGGTGACGAAAAAACAGTACACAGTAGTAGCTGTGGTTAATATCGAAAAGGAAGAAATAGAAGATGTGTACTGCGAAAGTATCACCGATGGTTGTAAAGCTGCTAAAGGTGGATGCAAACACGCTGTTGCTTTTCTGTTTTTCCTTTACGAAAAAGTCAACACGCCATCACCAACTGAAGGAGCATGTTTGTGGAAAGTTCCTCAACTAGCTCGGGTCGATGAAAATATCGACAGCTTCGACCTGGCTAAGTACGGTCGGTCCAGTGTGGTGTCGAATAATCAGAGTAGCAATGAAAGCGGTAGTGGAATATTTTTACGAACATTGCTGGAGAAGTATCAATCGGACCGATTGATAACCGGACTAAAGTTCCATCAGCCGTTTCCTCGAATGGAAGCTTATTCGCTACATTGCCTCATTTTAGAGTTTAAAAAATCGTCTCAAGCACGAATCACAGCAAAGGAATTCATTGCATACTCCAAAACGTCAATGAATAAATCCGTTTGTCGAGAAATAGAAGTTAGTACTCGAGGGCAGAGGCAAGGTCAAAGTTGCTCTCGATGGTTTTTGTTGAAATTTGGAAGAATCACGGCATCGAAACTATGGGATTTGTCAAGATGTCAGACAGCGGATGGATCGTTGGTTCATGCTGTATTGGGACAAAAATCAATAAGCACTGAGGCAATGCAGAGAGGATTAGAACTAGAGAGCAAGGTGCTGGAAGTACTCAAGAAGTATTATCCCAGTGTACGGAAATGCGGACTTTTTTTAGATCCGGATTATCCAGCATTTGGAGCATCACCAGATGCAATCAATGAAACCACTGTATTTGAAATTAAGTGTCCAAGCAAAGTTGACAATTTTAAATACTACGTCGCCAAAAATGGAGAACTTAAAGACAAGGTTAAGTCACAAATACAGCTTCAAATGGTTCTATCAAATCGAGAGAAAGGATTGCTGGTTAGGGTTCATCCTGGATTTGAAAATAGTCTAAATCCATCACAATTCGTTAAATTTTATAAGGAGGATCAAGATGTTGATTACATCGAGCAAAGAATGAAGGCTAGCTATAAGTTCTGGTGTTCAAATATATTTGCGAATTTGGTGGAAAAGTTTTGAAATATAAATCCATGTGGTTGGAACAGTATTTGTTTGCATTTATTAGTACAACTAATAAAAAAAAAACATAAAAATTTATTCTTATTTGATTAGGGGTCCTTGCAGATTTACCAAACCAGCTACTATTTTGATGATATCATCACACTTATTAAAAAAATAAACAGGAAGTTCTGCATGCGGAGCACAAATGCTATACTCCCGGACACGTCTAATTAGACGTTCAACATGAATTCTAACGCATGCAATTTCTTTGGCCTGTATTGCTTCTACTTTTGAAAGAGGTTGGTTGTCAACTATACTCGGAGGACGAATTAGTATTCCACCTTTCCTTGCAACTTCACTTGCAACATTTTTAAATCCTCTATCTGCTAAAACTCCTACTCCGTGATTAATGTTATCTAAATAACCTGATTTATTTACAATTTTTTGATCACTAGCTCTACCTGGAAATCCCTTCGAAATAAAGTTAATCATACCACACGGAGACAAGATACTTAATTGTGTTACAAGACTTATACTGAGAATATGTAATTGATTGCAAAACTGGATCAGATGGTTTTTGAATCTAAATCTCGAAACAATCGATTACGCTCTGAATATTACTATACTTATTCAAAAATGCTACCGGAAGAAACTTCTTCATTAGATCGGATTCTGGCCAAAATATTAGCTCTTCCATTTCTCTAGCAATTTTAGTGACACATTTGTTAAAAATTTGGGACAATCTAGAGAAGCTTAAACCGAAAATATCTTGTAGAATTTCAAAGGATTCGTTTAACTTAATTTTACGTAGAAGTATCATAATGTCACGCTCCGAGATGTTTGCTGTTTCACAAATTGCTTCCAACACGAATACATTACCTTTTCTTATGCCAAGGTATTTAAACGATTGATCCCTCATAACATTAAAATTATGCTGCACAAATAGTGACACATCGTCAGTGATACCTGATTCCTTGAACAGATCAGTATCACTATGCTGGCTTGGTATATAGCTGCTTCCACCTGAGCCCATGGATTCAAAACTATTTGAACCTAAAAAAAATAATACGTTAAAATAAGCATATAACTGTATTAACAAAACAAGCGTTCAGAATCATAAGGGCCCATTTGCAATGATCGATTATCTTTGATTAATAACTCGGAAGGATTAACGTTTCTCAATTCGATTGCTGTTTGTTTTGCTAGCTTATACAACCGGTTGCAACCCTGTATTGGAAAATTTTCAGGAAATTTGCCTTCTTTACTGTAGTAATCCTAAGAGAAAATCGATTACGAGAATGGATCATGGCAGTTAAGCCCTTATAGTTTTGAACGCTAGAAACATGTATTCAAAACATGAAACGTTTTGTCATAGAACTACTTGTAATAATTTGACTTACTTGCCACGTGAGACATCAATGGTTTGAGACGATTATGTAAGTCATCGGTTTGACTGTGTCTGTTGGTAGTTGCAACGGAACATTGAACGGCAATAGAACTGCGATTCTCACAGTCTGTTAAAACACCACGGTCTACAAGCTGCGGGTGTTTACTTTCAAACGATGCTTCTCCGTCACTTTGCCTTTTACGCTTTTGAACTGGTGGTGTTATATTTAAATCAATATGGTCGATATCATCATTCGAATCATTTGTTGATTCTATAGAGCATACGGGTAACGTAAGTGGATCTTCGTCAGGCATCATGTAGACATATTTTTCAGTCCTCGATTGATGTGGTATGTTCTTGTGTGGTAAAACGTCTTTCATTAATATGATTCTTTGAGAATACCTTTTAGCTTTGACTTTTACGACTCGATAATCTGACATCTGGAATTTCGAACATCTTCTATAGATACAAATAAGTATTAATCTAAATATTCATACTCACATCAAAGTGCTTCTGGCAGACATACAACAATTTGTTTGCAAGTACTGTTGGTAATCGGTTTTCAGCATAAATTCCGCAACGTTGTAACCACACTCTGCGCAGATCATATTGCTTCGGCATCGGGAATAATCCTATATCCGGATAGATACTTCTATTTGCTCGACATGAAATTACAGAGCAATCCATTCTATTGGGAACACAAAAAATTTGAATGCACCTTGAAACGAGCTTTGCGAACAGTTTTTGGGTTGCGAAAATGAACAAAAACAAGAAGACGCTGTTTTAAAAACAAACACAATGTCATTATGAGACCATGGTGCATCTGTTCAACAGTGTTGCCGTTGATTAGTGGTTTGTTCATAAGGTATCGTCTTACCAAAATACTATTATTTTTAAATATAAAAAACTATTTTTTTAGTACTTCCACTATTTAAATTTTAAAATGTCTTTAAGTTATGGTATACTGGCATCATACCCTATCATAATATACAAAAACCTATATACCCTTAAAGAACCCAATTGCAGCATTTACAAAAATAGAGTTTCGCAGTGGCTGTTACATAATGCAACAGATTGCTTTTATATACTATCCACCTCTACATAACGTACTTTTTTATACTTAATAAAAGGGTTGAAAAACTTTGTCATATGGCTCAACCCCGTGCAATTTAACAAGCACTTGACATACATAAACAAATTCCGCATGTACGACCAATGAAAACGCTCAAAATTGAGTAAGAGTTACTCATATTTGAGCTCAGGTTACTCAAATTCGCGAAAACGTAATTGACTCATAGAATGAGTAAATTTTTCGACGCATTTCCGAGGAAAACTACTCGAAGACGAGGAAAAAGGATTGTGGTTTTAGTCTGTCTACTAGTACACTTCTAACCTGTGTATAATTTTCTTAAATTTTCTCCATATTCGAGAAGTTTTCCCCGGGAAAGTGTCGGAAAATTTACTCATACGATGAGTGACCTACGTTTTAGCGATTTTGAGTAATTCGAACTCAAATGTGGGTAGCATTTTTTGTCCATGTGCGATTGGTTTGGAAAGTATTTTTTTCTAAATCATTAAAAATAAACTCACGCCGACCAACGCCGCCACGCCGCCGCCGCCGAAAGCAAATGGAGTGACGCCACCACGCCGCCGCCGCCGGCAGAAATCGAAGAAGATGGAGTGAAAAAGGATGAAGATGAAGTAGAAAACGAAAGTACGATAGAAGATGTGAATGAGTATGAAGATGCAGAAGAATGCAGATAACGATGAAGCGCAAGGAAGGAACGGAGAAATCGAAAAATAATGTAGAGAAGATATATAGAACATCACGAAGAATGAAGATGGAGAAGAAGTGTAAAACATGAGATGAGCATTTTTTTAACTAGTTCGTTTATTTGGTAGGCTCAATCGCGTTAGCTTTGCGGAGCCGATAGTTCATTGTTCTTTGTTTGTAACAAAATTCACTTAATTCTATGTCTAGTAGGAGTTGGGCCGAATACTCGCGGCTTACTCGAGGTTAGAGAGGTACATTGTCGAAGGATAGGATCAGGGGAGGAGCTTGGGGGTAAGGTTTCGTTGTCTCATCAGAACGTTATCGCCAGTATGAATGGTAGTGTGGTTCTAGTTTCGTCTGGAGTTCGACCGGCTATGGTGACCAGTGGGCGACGATGAGACTCGTCGATACGGGGGACAAGACAAACAAAAACTATTAAAGAGAGACAAAAGACAAAGGAATTAAATTCTTATACTAGACATTTGAAGAAACACATAAACCGACTGCATATAGCAGATATCGCGAGTTCCCAATACGTCTCTGATAGGAACATAGGGTTGTCTTCCTTGGGCCTCAAGGGTATTCAAAAGTCGCTCTCTGGCGGCGTAATTATCCGTACATTGCCAAACTGCGTGATCGATGTCATCGTAACCGTTTCCACACCGACAGATGTTGCTGTCCACGAGGTTTATTCTATTGAAATGAGCATCTAGCGAGTAGTGGTTGGACATAAGTCTACTCATCACGCGAATGAAGTCACGACTTAAGTCCAAGCCTTTAAACCACGCTCTCGAAGAAACATAAGGAATAATTGAACCACCGTCCAAGATTTCCATTGATCAGTTCACGAAGATTTGCCGCACTCTTCTCTCACCCGTAAGTTTTGACAGTTTTGGGTGGTTTGTTTTGGCTCCCATTCGTTGCTATCTCTTTTACTCAGAAGCAAAATGATAGGGAGCAAAAAGTGAGGTTAGGGACCGTGCACTGATCTATTGTCCCAATCGGTTTGCCAACTCGAAAGGGTACTCTGACGCACTAAATGGTAAAATTCATCGTGTGAAATTTGCCTGTCATAAAATTCGCCTTCCTGCGAGAGAGTCCGCCTTCTCATTGCCTGGGATTGAGCAATGTGAGGGGACCCATACAAAGGTAATCATATGTGATCTTTCGACCAGTACACTCATCTGCTACCTTACCTTTGAAAGGAAATAAGATGAGTGCCTACTTGGTTTCATCGACTGAATAGCCTCAATCGAACTGTGACTATCCGAGAAGATGAAGTAATGGTCCGCGGGCATGTTGGAAATCATCTCCAATGCGAAGTTGATTGCTGCCAGCTCAGCAACAAGGAAGGCGCTAGAGTTTTCATTGAAGAAACCGAAGCCAGTGGATCCACTGAGACGAGAACCGTCTGTAAAATATCTGTTCACGCTATTGACGTGTTGGTACTTTTCAGTAAAAATACGTGGGATAATAATTGGTCGAAGTTGATCGGGAATCCCATGAGTTGCTTGTTTCATGGTCAGATCATATTCAATTGAGGAACTGCGATTGGTGAAGTGAGCACGGTCTGGAGTATAACAAGGAAGACACATATCTGACGATATGTAGTGGTGGTAGATTCTCATAAATCGAGATTGTATGTTCAGTCCAAGAATTTCTTCAAAATTTGCAATTATAAGTGTGTTCGTCACTCCGCATTTGATTAGTATTTTGAGAGAGAGCTCCCAGAAACGGTTCTGGAGGGGTGTTACTCCTGCCAGAACCTCGAGACTCATGTTATGCGTTGAGTGCATACAGCCAATAGCAATACGCAGACAATGAATTCGTTCCAATTTTATTAGGTGACATTTTCTTGCCGAGAGAAAGCAGAAAGAGCCGTACTCTAGAACAGAGAGAATAGTTGTTTTATAAAGCGTTATGAGGTCTCCCGGATGAGCACCCCACCATGTGCCGCAAGTTGTACGGAAAAAGTTGATCCTCTGTTGACATTTTTGCTTCAAATACGTAATATGGGTATTAAAAGTGCAATTTGAATCAAACCAGACCCTAAGGTACTTGAAAGATAATGATTGGGTAATGTTTCTGCCCAAAAGGTTAAGCTGCATTTGGGCTGGGTACCGCTTTCAAGTAAACACTACCAGTTCAGTTTTCTGCGGCGAGAATGCGATCCCTAGATTCCTAGCCCAAGAAGACAAGTTATCTAAGGAACTTTGCAATGGTCCTTGCAAGTCCACGGCATGTGGACCTCTTATGGAAACCACACCGTCATCTGCAAGTTTTCTTAGCGTGCATTGTTCTGCCAAACAGTTGTCGATATCTTTGACATAAAAGTTATAAAGAAGAGGGCTGAGACATGAGCCTTGGGGCAGGCCCATGTAGCTAATTCTGGAAGGTGTCAGTTGTCCAAGGGAAAAGTTCATTTGCTTTTCTGTCAACAAATTGTACAAGAAATTATTTAAAATTCCGGAGAGTCCACATCTGTGCAGATTGTCTGACAGAAATTCAATGGAAACTGAATCAAAAGCTCCCTTAATGTCCAAGAATACTGAAGCCAATTGCTTCTTGTGCGCAAAGGCCAGTTGAATATCTGTGGAAAGCAGCGCCAAAAGTAGTTCAGTACTTTCTGAAGTGATACAAAACACATTTGAAGTGAGTCAGTTGTTTTCTGAAGTAATTCCAAACACTTTGACACATTTTCTTTAAGTGATGCTAGACTTTTCAAGGTGATGCAATATTCAAATGAGTGTTGCAATACTTTTAGATGTGACTTATGACCACTAATGACAGGTAATGTAGATCTAATCAGATTTGTATTACTTCATGTATCATGTTGACGATAGCAAAGTTCAAGGCGATACTTTATATCATAATTAAGGTGAAATCTATGCTATAGAGAAAGTGATAAAAAGTACAGAATTGATAGTTCCGTTGGGGTGAAGCGCCAACTGACCCTGAAATGTGTAACTTTGTCACTGCTGCTGTTGTCGAGAGTGTATTTTCTTCTACCGTATGGGGGTCTATTACTGGTTAATTTCCTACTTGGATTGACATTGAAATTTAAGTCAAGGTTGTTGAAAGTGGGCAAAGGGAAAATTTGTGATGATACGAATCAAACGAGCATTTGCTTTGTTAAGCTAAATACTAGTCTCAAAAAACGGGAAAAGCCCCCTCTTTCGAATGGCGAAGGTTTCGGGAAAGCCGTTTCAATGTTATTCAACAACGATACGGAGTGATGTTTTAAATATCAATATCTATGTCGTAAGAATCGAAACGAGTTGAGCTATTTCACATGAAGGGCATGTTAGTTTTTTTTTTCGTTTATGGACAGTAGAACAGGGGCTAAGTTTTAAAATGCAGTAATTTTGTAATTTTGTAATTTTGAAAACCCCGGTCGGTTAGGACAACTGGTTTTTGGTCTGCATCACTCATGCTAGCGGCCATGCGTCTCCATGGTTTCCATCGAATGCATACATCACTGCCTCAGCATATGACCCATGTGTTATTTCATCTGTTCTATATACATAGCTAAGTGTCTATATCATTTTTATGTAGGTACAACAATTCCACAATTAAAAATTTCTCGATGTAAAATGGTATAGGAGAACACTACCGATACCGCTTGGAACGATTTTTTTAAAGTGATAGGTTGATCAATTTATGCTGTGCCTCGAAGTTGCCCTGGCTGCGGGTGTGGAGACTTTTTGACAGATATGCTCGCCGCCAAGGTGACGGCGCATCGTTGTGTATGTGTGTGTGTATGTGTATATGCGTTTTTCGGTTGTTCGTTCCACTAAATACTGATGGGTTGAGAGTCCCCCACTCGCATTTTGGACAAAAAGTCACTCAAGTTTCGCGATTTCTAGTTGCTGACTGCTGCTGGCTTCTCACTCTCGTTGTCGTCGGTGTCAAGTTCGGTAGAAGGTTGAACACTTGGTGGTCGTCGTCGATCGGATTTGAAAAGAAGTGCAGAAGAAAAAAAAGCTAGAGGCTGTCCTCTGTGCTCCAACTGTGCGAAGTAAAATCTACAATTTATTGTGAGTGCTTAATTTTTGGGACGCCTCGTCGTGTGCATCGGAAAGTGATCGTTCCTGGCGTCAGAACACGGAAAATAGGATGTGGATTACGGCCTAGGTTGTGCGGATTAGCGGAAAAGTGGAATGCGTTGGCCAAAAGCTGGTATGTGGAATTTCTGTGAAAGTTATGAAATTGGAAGAAAAAGGTTTTTTTTTTCTCTGCCTCTTGACACTCAGTTGGTTGATGGGGTTGGTTAGTGGGTTGCTCTGGGAGGGGAATAGGTATGTGTTGTGTTGCAGGGGGTGAGCGTGGTGAGTGGTTGCAAAAGGTGGAATGAGAGCGTGAGTTGCTTGAAAATGTATTGAGCCGTCAGGAGAGTGAGAGAGCTGAGATCCACCACCCATTTGGTTCTGTAGGTGGTGTTTGTGATGGAGTGCAATGTCCAGGAAGTGTTGCTAGGCAGGCTGTTTGTTTTATTATCGAGAAAAGAGTGTGAAATTGTTTTGAAATTGTCAGAAAAAGTGAATCACAAATAAAATCTGAGGGTTCAATGCATCCAATGCATTTCGAAAAATTCAAAAGCAGTTTTTTTCAACACATTATTTCAGATTGCCAACCGCGTCATTTTTCTTTTTAATAGCAAAAGAAATATAATGACGAGAGCTTATTACAATCTGAAATGATGCGTCGAAAAAAAAATCTTTTGATGGTTTCGAAAATGCATCAATTCAGTGGCAAAGGGGCGTAATTGCTTTTGTAAACAATGGCTTTAACCATCCATTTCTCGCGAATAAAAGCTCACACATGAAAATCAACGACATCAACAGGTAGAGGAATATATCCTCTACCAGCTGGAATTGTTAATTTTGAGGGGTGAGCTTTAATTTGTGAGAAATCGACGGCTAAAGCCATTATTTACAAAAGCAATTACGCCCCTTTGAAATGTTGACACTGAATTATTGAACCTTTTCTGATAGGTTATTCACCACCAACACCTAAGTGTCGTTAGTGAAAAAAAAAAACACTAGTACTGGGTGCTTTATATAATGATAATTGAGAAGTAGAATTCTGCAGGTAAAAATGTTAAGCAATTCATTATTGTTTGGTCATTTTAAAATCACAAGAGTTTTACTTTGTGCGCTAACCGAAATCTTTACAGAATACTTTTTCTATTAGTGAACTTGTTTTCGATCCAGTTTCAACCCATGCAAACCTCCACTAGAGCAAGGCAACAAAATCAAACGATCAAACTGACGCTTGTTGAGAATTATGTGAATTCTATTTTGATCCAAAAATGAACAAATTTGGTTTACGGATTACATCATGCAGTATCCTCCCGCTGCGAAACCGAACTTTTTGTCGGTTTGAACCTCAACCTGAGCTAGGTTTTAAAAACAAACGAGCAAACTGACGTTCCGGAGAACTTTGAGATTTGGGCGTAATTGCTTTTGTAAACAAACAACGAATAAAAGAACAATCTCGCGAACCAACTATACAAAATGATAGAGGAACCATTCCTCTACCTGTTTGTGTTGTTAGTTTTTTTTAGATTGGGTTTTAATTCGCGAGAAATCGTCAAATGACGTGTTTGTTTACAAAAGCAAATACGCTATAATCTCGAAGTTCTTCGGGTTTGTCAGAAAACTAGCAGACCCAATCACAAATCAGAATATTGACAGAACAATGTATTCAATCGCGTGTTTATGTATACTTTTTAATATGACATTTTCCGGATTAACAGGGTCCGGATTATCAAGTAATCGGATTAGCGAGTGTTGGATTAGCGGGGAATACTGTATATTCACAAATTAAGGTTTAATTGAGTTTTTGTTGTGAATGTATGCCGTTATATGAAGTTCAAAGATCTTTAAACGTCATGAGTTTCTTTTACTCATGTTTTTATTATGGTAAGATGAGGCCGATGTTTGGATTCTATGGAGTACTGATATACAGAGTGTCTATTACCTGGAAAAATGCTGGAAAATTTGGAATCTTCAAGGAATTTTATTTTCCCTAGAAAAACCTGGAATTCTTAAAGAATTTTCAAATTCCTTTATCAAGCAAATTTTCAAGTTACTTTTTCTCTTTGAGCGAAATAATTCTTGAGTGAATTTATCTTTAGTATCAACATAAATTCATATGCTTGATTTTTTTTAAGGATAGCATGAATAATTTTAAACTTAAACAATTTTTTTTTTTAATTTTATATACCTAATGAAATTACACTTGTAGAAATTTGCATGATCCTGGAACGAAATAAATATTCAAGACTACGGACATAGAATAAATTCCATAAACCCAGATTTCAAATAAACTAAGGGCCTTGCAAGGGAATTCAGTAGAAGTGAGGATTCCTTTCAAATTAGTCATGAGACATTCCATACTCCAGGTAAAACGTAAATAGAATTCCAATGTAGTTCTGAGTAGAATTCCAAGGGAATCTTGACCATGAGTAGGATTCAAAGTAAATGTACAAGGGAGCTTTGTGGAGCATTCGAAGTATAATTCATAATAGTTCTGTCTAAAGCTGCAAAGTAATTTTGAGGACACTTTTTAAGGAATTTGCAAGGAGAACTGAAAGCGAACTTGTAAGTTGAATATCATGAAAAGAAGGAGAATACAAAAGGAAGTCTGAAAATAATTGAGAGAACATTCTGAGGATGATTCGAACAGTATTCACCTTGAAGTTAATAATTTTACTAGTGACGGTATCCATCCTTGACGTAATGGATGAGACGTAACTAAACATGTCATGTAAAATTAAGTGCTCCGTGATCACTTGACGAAAAGTACGATTGATTGAGCGGAATTTCACGTCTGTTATGACTAAATTTTATGTCAAAATTGACGCATCAGTCTCAGAAAACAGTGTTCACTTGGCTGTCGACAGAAGCAGACCACGCGATCGTCTGTTTACCTGTTTACTCGTCCATTGTGTGGTCTTCCTCATTGTTCTTCATCAGCAGTTCTTTCGGTCGATGCGTCGTCGACTTTAGAAAGCAACAGTTTAGTGATGAGTGTGTGAGTGCTGACCTCGTTTTGCGTCCATTGCTGCAATGGAAGAGCTCTGCCCCCCGTTAGCGATACTGCCATACAATGACACCACCGGAAGCGGCTCCCGTTCTGATGGAGGAGGCTTATTAGATAGCGGAAGATAAAGTGTTTATTGTGTTGTACCTTTTGATTATTGTTTTAAGATGTATTGTATAGTGAACAAGAATCCTCGGCTCTGTAAAGTTATTTCAAATGAGCCTTGTCAAATAAATTAATGAACAAAAAAAAAAAAATTGTCATAGCACCTAAATTTACACGATTTTTTCTAAGTGTGTACTCTTAGGAGTATTTCAAAGAACATTTGAGGAAAGTTTCATGGAAATTCCCAACGGAGTTTTAAGATAAATTTCAAAGGAACATTTCAAGGTTGTTCCTATAATCATATTAAGTTTATAACGTTGTTTTTCCTTTTAATTGTACTACTATTGTATCGCTTTCACTTTCAATAATTCGCTATTCACTTTCACTATTTACTTTCTCTATCACTTAAAAAACTATAACCGGTACGTATTTCGTCTACTACTTAGGTTAGGTTAGGTTATCTTTATTAATGAGACTACCCAACTAACAATTTTAGCTGCAGCTCAGCTTATACAGGCAAAAATTAGCTGCATAAGCCTAATTTTGGCAGTATAAGCTAATCTGCAACTGAAATTGTTTGTTGGGTACTGTTTACTATTTGCAGTGTCTAGTAATAGACTATATCTATGACAAGTCTATGATTAGATACTGAATAATCTTGCAAGTAGTAAACGAAATACGTATCTGTTATAGTTTTTTTTAGTGAAAGTGAAAGTAAATAGTGCAAGTGAATAGTGAATTAATGAAAGTGGAAGTGATACAATAGTGGTAGAATTGAAAGGACAAGCAACGTAATAAGGTATACAATTATTCTACTAACACGCTCATCAATCAATTAAGATTCAAAATCCTAGAAATTTTCCGTCGAAGTCCTGGAAAAACCTGTAAAACTCAGGTAATTTTATTTAGCAAAATGATAGGTTAGTTAGTTAGTTAGTTAGTTATCTTTATTAAGGAGACTTTCAGTCGAATGCTGATTCGTCTCCGAAAAATTGATACGTCGAGCGGCATGTTTTGGTTATAAAAAAAAAAATCCCCAAAAAGCGCTACCGGAACTTGCTTCACATGTTCCGGAGTGGCCACATCAGTTTGTACTGCAGGCAATGTATGTCTATAGGCTTGATTTTTCAAAAATAGGAATTTGATACGTCGCACGGCATGTTCTGATGAGTACGTTGAAGTCGCTTGATCTATCAAAATCATTAAGTTTCATACGTCACTCGGCATGTTTTGTTGATAAAAATCAATTGTCCTCAAAAACACCCTATCGGACCCTGCGGACCCCTAGAGGTCACATCGGTTTGTACTGAAGGCAATGTATGCCTATAGTATGGTATTTTGCATTTCTAGCTGGACTCCTCATAAGTGCGGCATAGCTAAATAAAGTGCGCTTTTACGTTGTATGCCTTGGTATCTTCTGCGCATTTTTTTTTTGTTCTGAACCAAGGAAAAGTGCTTCCAATACTCCAAAACGATTTAACGTAAAAGCCAAGGGGTAAGTCACTCATCACATTGTGCCGCAATTAGATTCGGCACAGCTTGGGTACATCCATCGACACACCTTCGGCACACATTCGGCTCAATCTCGTAGGCATTGAATTGTTGTGAATAAAATGGGAGCACCGCTGGACAACTGTCATTGAAGTTTTTCACAACATTACGTGCTGTTTGACTGTATATTCAGGAACATCCTCTAACTGGATATACCAGGGAACTCAGACCAGCAGTTCACTTATAGATCTTAATACGAAAGAGTGAACTCAAGAGAAAGAGGCAGTTAATCAGACCCCATTATTTAGTACCCTTAATTCAAATAATGCTGCAACTCACACAAAACAAACTACAGAAGTCTATTCATCATCCTCTATAGTTGGTCTCCAACAATGTTCCCAACTGGTTTTGGCCGCTGATAGACCGTTGCTTTTCACATCACGAAAGGCTAGGTTTCTGGTCTACCTTTGAGGGCAGGGCTGGAAAGCACCTCAGAGCGTTAGCAATGCAACTTTGTGCATGCATCTCACAACACTCGACAAAGAGTGTGTGGTTCTCCCATTTACTTCGCATTTTCTTTTCCAACTAATTTGTGAGAAAGTGATCCACACAAACCAAAACATTCAGGTGTCAGAAATACCGGGTTGCCGGGATTTGTATTTTACAAACAACGCAGCTTGCTCTATGACCGGCACAATCGGCACACTGACACAAAAGATGACCCAAGATTGGTGGGCGGAGTGACCTACCCCTTAGTGTGTCCGTACTTTTCGTCACGCTTATCCTGATGAATGTGAAAGTCTTAGTGGAATAACTGTATAAGAGAAGGAATAGTAATGTACATTTAATTCCACTACCTTATTTGGTTAGCCTTGCCAGATACGCGTATTTCGTCTACAATGTGCTTAATGCGCTATATTCTGCAGATCTTTTTTGGTAGTAAATGGTAAAAAAAAACAAATTGTTTATAAATGCTGTTCGAGGGATCTTCTCCAGAATGAACCATGGCAGAGAACTCTCATAGTCATTCCATGATCCTTTAAGTCCTTCATATATCCCCCTATTATATCAAGTTGATCAGGAGTTATCTTGCGGTATAAAACTAGTCAAACATTGAAATTGAGTCTTTCAGATATTCTCTGATAATATCAAGTTTATCAGAAGTTAAATTAAAGATTTTCCACGATATAGACGGAAGTTGAATCCTTCAGATATCCTCTCACTATATCAGATTGATTAGGAATCATTCTGATGATCTTCAGTCACTTAGATATTATCTCATCATATCAGGTCGATGTAAGATTATCTTGAAGACCTTCAACTGATCAAAAACTGAAATTAAGTTGTTCAGATATTCTCCCGTCAGTTCAAGTTTATCAGGAATTGTCTTATAGGCTTTCCACAGGGCAACAACTGAAGTTGAGTCCATCCGATATTCTTCTATCATATCAGGTGGATCAGGAGTTATTTTGAAGACATACACTGCCATAATCGCTTGGTTTCCTAGCCATAATTTGCTTGGTTTCCTATCCATATGAAACAGTGATACGATTATGGGCGATTATCTAGGAAAAAATAGAAACTGTGACCTTCAGATATTCACCCATTATATCAAGTTCATCAGGAATTATCATGAGGACCTTCAACTAATACAAACAATTAATTTGAATCTTTCAGATATTCTCTCATAATATCAAGTTGATCGGGAATCCTGAAGACCTTCGACTAAAAAAAAAAAACTAAGATTGAGTCCTTCAGATATTCTCTCATCATATCATGGTTGTAAGATTGTGTTGAAGACCTTCAACTGGTCAAAAATTTAAATTGAGTTCTTTAGATATACTTTACCTTATATCAGGTCGATCAGAAGTAATTCTGATGATTTTCAGTCATTCGGATGTTCTACCATCATATCAGTTTTTTTTTTTCGAAAATCACGGCGGCGCCGACTGGGATTGAACCCAGGCCTTTTGGGGTGATAGGCAATCACGCTTACCACTACACCACCGGTGCCACTATTTACAGTGTTTTGTACATTACAATTCTCTGTTCCATTTGACCAACATACAATGTTCTGTAGAATAATTCAAACAGTAAAAACGCATATTTTTGCTTTAGACTGTAATTCGCTATAATCAGTCCTTGCTTAATTATAGCATATTTTAACCTTCTTATTTCATGAGCTTATAGGGGAGAACGGGGCAAGTGGAAATACAAAGTCAACTAGGCTCATCTAGGTATATGACTCGACGGAACCCTTGGCGGGTGTCTTACGAGCACAAATCAAGACCAACAATTGAAATGGCCTTAACTGCATTTTGTAAACAAACTCTCGCGAACCAAAACCTTCATTCGCAAACCTAAACCACAATCGGGTAGAGGAGAATTTCCCCTACCTGTTCATTATGTTGGTTTGCCTTTGCGGACTTCGGTTCGCGAGATAATGGCCTTGCAAGGTTTAAGCCGAAACGAAGCGTTTTTCGTATGAACGCTTGTAGGAAAAAGCCCGTTTCCCGCCTTGGTTCCATAATGTTGTCCCTGGTCAAAAGCCCTGCTGATCAACTTGCTTCAACCTAAGTAGGTCTCAATTACAATAATCACCAAGTGGCATCACTGATCGATGAACGATGCACCTACATATACTCGTATGTTTGTATGATGTCAGAGTGAAGTGGTGTTCTGTTCCGAGATCCAACCAACTTGTTTCCAAAGGGGGGTCAATCCCACAGCACTCGATGCGATTCCCCCTCACGTGTATGTTGTCAACGTCTGTATGGGTATGAGCGAGCGTGCATACATGCGATTCGGAACATCAGACGGACAAGATCGAAAATTCAGCAAACATACAAGCATCTCTCCACCAGACCAGCCGTTCAGAGCATGATATTAGGTGGTACAGCAGCGATAGGGTAGCGTGCGAGCCTGAGCACCGTCAGTCAGTAGTGAGATCACGCTCGGCTCGGGAGAAAGAGTGAATATGAGTGTACGCGACTGAGAAAGGAAGGTAATCAGGCAGGCTGGCAAATGAAAAAAGAAGAAAATATGTTGGAAAAATGATTGAACTTTGCCAATTTCAGAAAAGATTTTTCTTCTCGCACACTTCCAGACGTTCCCAGTCGACTAAGCGGAGGACACAGCCGGATCGGTGGTGATCGGAAGTAGGTTTCCGTAAGTGAAATCTGGTTACAGCTGCTGGAGGACGGGACCGAGGATAGCAACCTTCTGGGTCTGGTGGTGGAATCCGAGGTAGCCGCCAGAATCTGGTATCGAGACGGTGGAAAATTACATGGAACAACACCATCCGAAAAGTGAATCGATCCGGAATTGCAGCATTTGTCGTTGTTGGTGGAACCAGAAAGATTGTTTTCGGGCTGCTTGAGAAGTGTGCTAGAAAATAGCGAAATGTGAGCAAAATCGTTTGATATCGTTTTATTGAGGAGGGCAGATAGAGAGAATAGAAGGTAGTTTCGAGGTGACTGTGCAAATTATCAAGAGGTCTGACTGGAAGGGAAAAAAAATAATTTAGTGACTTAGTGGATGACGTAGATCATTTTCGGGAAACGAATCAAGAGGCACAGTGAAAAATCGAATCGAACAAAGCAAATCTCTCTGTTATGAGATTTTTTTTTATCTCTCCTTGCAATTTCTAGATTTATTGAATTAGGTAGTTGTTGGCTGTTTCATTTTTTAAACATCAATTTTCTTTCTTTTCCTCTCTATTCCGGTGCATTGCGACGACTACTGGTGGATAATCGTTCCTGCTGTTTCATCTTTGCTGCCTTGTTTGTGGTGTCTTTGGAAAACGAAACGGAAAATCAACGAATGAAATAATGATGATTGTGTGATGATTATGGTGATGTCTATATACGTGCATTTAAAATGCAATATTGAAAACTCGCGTTTGGTGTAATAATTCGCGTGCATCCACACGTACGTATACGCGGTGAACAAATACTATCGAACGTAACAATAAACGTCACATACGTCAAATCCATACTTAACTATCGATAAAAAAAAGACACACTACAGTGGAAAACGCGAATCAAAGTGCACCAGTACAGGTGATCGGTGGTGAGGTGCAAGAGAAGATACGAACGAAGACGAAGAAGAAGAACCACGCGAAGCCAAAAATGATTTGCGAATGACCAAACGAAAGGAAAAGCGATAAAGCAAGCAAGAAAGGAGCAGCAGCAGCAGCAGCTTCAAAGCAAGCGAGAAGAGTGCTATCGATTTTCCTCGTGATCCAGAGCAGAAAAGAAAGAAGGTGACAGAACGAGAAAGGGAGAGCGAGTGACCGAGCGTGTGTTGAAGAACAGCTGAGACGCGGACGAATTTGTAGGCCACTGGCAGAAAACAGCTGCGGTAGAGTGCTGCTGCAAGGCTGCTAGCAGGGGGTGTGTGTATGTTGAAAAGTGGGTGAAAATTTTAATGATATGAAGAGTGAAGAATACTATCGTCGTCGTTGATCGATTGCGGATTGTGATTTTCTAAATATCTGATATTTTTTTTCGGGGGAACAAAGCATAAGAGTGTGTGTCCTCCAGAGCGGAGAAGGCAGCTTGGTGGTGTGAAGAAAGGAGTCGAAGGAGAAGACATCAGAGGGCGGTGTTGAGGCGTTGAAGGTGGAAAAGTTCACGCACTCACGCACGCGAGTGAAACATCTGTTCGTCGTCGGACGGATCGAACGTGGATTGGTGTGAGAGAGTATCGGACGGAAAAGCGACGAGAGCGATAGCACCAGCACAACACAGGTTAACGACAGCGTTGCCAGGTAATTGTACGAAGAATGTAACACAAATCTCTGAGGGCATTTGGAAGGAAGCAGAGGGAGCTTATATTCGATTAGTTGGGTGCAAATTTCATTCGCAGAGCAGTACCAAGTAGGTATAGTTACTTCGGAGCGAATGATCAAAAGTGTAATGATTGATTTCTGTGGCGCAATTCTCGTGTTACAACTGCGAAATTTGGCCACCCCACGCCCGATTCTCGGTTCAACCGGGGTGGAGTGATATTGGGGTTTATCATGCATTCTATGTAAACCGATGCAGTAGGTTCAATGATTTCAACATTGCATCCAGTTTTACGAGGTTATCAGCGGTCAATAGTTTGAAGGGGATTTAGGGGAGACACCTTGTCTCGAATATCATGTATCTTTTTTCTCGCCTTAAAGTAGTTCAGAATGGAAATGGAAGCATTGTACAAAATGTTGTTCTTCCAAATAGAAGTTATGAAAATGGATACAACAAAACGTTACTTTATCTCAGCATCAGTTTTTTGTTTGCTGTCGCACATTTTGGATTCGCTGTTATCATTTATGCATTCATGCTGACAAATCAAACAGCTTGATTTAAAATAATCTAATATGAAAGGACAATCTTGATCTAGATCAATCCAGCTTATCAACAGTAATTTGTGTGATATCAAAACTGTATGAGGAATTGGCTTTTCGCTATATATTTAAATACGGACAACTTGAAAATAAAAGGTTCACATAGTCGTGTGAAATAGTATAAATTAAAAATATTAGAAAATTTCTGATAAATTTGATTTTTATATTATTTGCTCAGTTTTCAGATCATATTTTTCTCAACCCCCACTGTTTGGAACAGTTTTTTTTTAATTCTGTTCAAATTTTTAAATTGCCATAATTAAAGTTAATAATCTTTCCGATCTTACTAAAGTTAATAGAGTGACATCAATGTTCATTTGCATAATTAATGTTTCGTACACTTTGTATTCAGTAGTATGATTTTCTCGCCGAAACGGTATTGAAGTAGAATTGAAGGTCCTAGGATATGGCAAGTTTGCATAACTCGATAAATCAAGACTTATGATTGCAATTTTTTACCGATTTACACCATATGTTTCTTTCGATTAGCTACAGAAGTTTCTTTCTGTTTACTCCAGATATTTTTTTCTACTCCTCGCAAAAGCTTCTTACAAAATCCAACTGAAGTTTATATCGATTTTTCCACGAAAACTCAAGGGGTGCTGTGATTTTTTTTAATGGACATTTATATTTAGTATGGCTTCTCTAAACAAATAGCAATTTCTCGGGAAACCATATCAAATTAGTGAACGTGATTCGTGATTTTTGGTAAATTTCCCGGCCATGGTTTGAGAACGCGCTGCAGTTTCGTGTGGTAAGCTAACTGATCTCATACACGCATTTAGGGCAGTACAACCTTAATAAAACTGTGACGTTTTTGGACAAAAGTATATTTTAGACTTGAAGTGGACCATAAAAACGTTTAACATGGTAAAATTTTCCTGTCTTAAAAAGTCGTGTTGCACTGTGTAATTTGAAGTGTTTTCTTAAGAAAGTTCCAAGGGAATTCCGCAAAAATATCAAGGGTATCGAATTTTTAATATATAATCAAAAAGGCGGCATTTTGAGAAGAGCTGTAGGTGAATTCTAAGGATACTTTTGAGGGCAGCTTGAGATGAAATAAGACTGAGCAGAATTTCAAGACGATTTCGTTGTAAATTTCATGAGAATTCTCAGTAGAGCTAAGAAATTTTTAAAACTTATCCGGAAGTACTTTAACTATTTATTTTATATTACTTCTGAGCGAAGTCAACGATTTTCATAGTTGAAGATGCTAATTTCAAATAACAGACTAAAGTGGTAATTTTTATACGATAGATGAGGAGATGAAAGTATAGGGTTGATAGTCAGGGTTACTTCCACTCACTTGCTATAAAAAAAAATGTTTTTCGGAATTATGAAATCATGATATAGTATAATGCTAATTAGTACTTGTAAGTTACAGGAGTAGGTCATGAAGTATATGTTTGACACATAAAATCTGTCAAAATTGCTTTCAGTACGTCACAATCAGCGATTTTACGACTCGTGAGCGCTCACTCTGAGTGAACGCTCACGAATCATAAGATCGCTAATTGTGACGCTCTCAAAGCGAAATTGACAGGTTTTATGAGTCAAACACATACTTTACTACCTCTTCTTGTTATTTACAAGTACAACATAGCATTATTGCATCTAATGATTGCACAATTCCGAATAATATTTTTTATAGCAAGTGAGTGGAAGCAACCCTGTTGATAGTTCCGTTAAAGTACGGCGGTGTGAAATTGTATTTATAGAGAATAGAAAGCGAGCAACGTCAACTTTAATGAATGAAGGTACAAATCGGTTTGATCATCTCTCTTTACCAAACTCCCCTGTTAGAGAGCGATTATGAGGGGCAGGGTTGCTTCCACTCACTTGCTATAAAAAAATATTATTCGGAATTGTGCAATCATTAGATGCAATAATGCTATGTTGTACTTGTAAATAACAAGAAGAGGTAGTAAAGTATGTGTTTGACTCATAACTCATGACACGAGTCGTAAAATCGCTGATTGTGACGCACTGAAAGCAATTTTAACAGATTTTATGTGTCAAACATATACTTCATGACCTACTCCTGTAACTTACAAGTACTAATTAGCATTATACTATATCATGATTTCATAATTCCGAAAAACATTTTTTTTATAGCAAGTGAGTGGAAGTAACCCTGATGAGGGGTATTCCCCCCCGCACTGGCAAAAAGAGATGATCACCGAAATGCTCAAGTACCGACGATGTGTTTGAAACAGTTCTATCGATTTTTACCGCACTCAAGTTGTTATCTGAAGCAGGCTTGCTTCCACTCACTTGCTATAAAACATTGTTTTTCGGAATTATGAAATCATTAGACGTTATAATGATAATTTATACTTTTAAGTTACAATAAGAGGTTGTAAAGGATGTGTTTGATTCGTAAAACCTGTAAATGCTGCTTTCAGAGCCTCACAATTAGCAATTTTGTGATTTGTGAGCGCTCACTCTGAGTAAATGCTCACGAATCATAATATCGATTACTGTGACGCTCTGAAAGTGAAATTGATAGATTTAATGTGTCAAACACTTACTATACAACCTCTTCTTGTAACTTACTAGTACAAAATATCATTATAACATTTAACGACTTCAAAATTCCAAAAACCCAAATTTTATAGCAAGTGAGTAGAAGCAACCCTGATCTGAAGGAAGGCATCCACTCGTAGGTTTGGAAATTGCAGCTATTGTTACCTCTACCACGGTATGTGCTCCTGTCATCGTCAACTTGACGATCTCCTGGGGAAACGGGAAGGGTAGGTGTCCCATTGTCGGTACTTGAGCGTGTCGGTGATCATCTCTTTTTGCCAGTGGTGGCGAGGGGGAATACCCCTCACCATACCTCTCCAACGGGGGAATTTGGTAAAGAGTGATGATCAAACCGATTTGTACCTTGATTCATAAAAGTTGTCCTTGCTCGCTTTCTATTCTCTATATATACAATTTCACACTGCAGTACTCTAACGGAACTATCAACTCTATACTTTCATCTCATCTATCGTATAAAAAATACCACTCTAGTCTGTTATTTGAAATAAGCATCTTCAACTATTAGCTGGAAGCTATACTAAATTCTCGAAAGAATCATCAAAAATCCGAAGAGAATCTTAGGATTAATTAATTGTTGGAGTGTTCTTCAGAGAATTAAAGGATCATTATTTAAAAAAAAATTAGTGACTCGCAGAGAGAAGCTCAAGCATGTAGTTTGATCAAATTTATTTTAGAGGAATTTTGAAAAGAACTCTGTGAAGGGAAATTATTCTAAAGTAAAATTGTTGAGAACATTCCAAAGAAATCCTGCAAAAACATGTTGTTAAAACATAGGTTGATAAATTATGGATTTTTTTTTTGAGTAATTACCCATTAAACCTAGTGATCTCTTTGGATCAAACGCATTCGGTTTAATTTTTAATTTAAATGTATATTGCACAACCGGGAAAATTTGCTGAGATATGCTGGTCACCATGGCTAAAATTTCCGAGAAATTTACAAATTTAATGTGTAGAACTATCAATAAATTAAGACAAAATTTCCAGTGCATGCTAATGGAAACGTTTCGGAGAGGTTGGAAAAAACTTAAGGGGAGACATTGGAAAAAGTAAGAGGTTGTATCCAAGACACGACCTAAGAATTGACGTAGGATTAAGTGCTCGGTATCTATATTCGGCAACTGTGTTAGGGAAGCTTCTTTTTCCCATCACAGAAATGCTTCGTTTTCTGATGACAAAATTACGTATTTTCGTGCACTGAACACACGAATTTTTTGGATTATTCAATAGATAGTTGAAAAAAAAAACGAAATTTGATTGAAGGAATTTTTTTCTAAAACGAGCGGACACCACCACTCACCACACGATTGAATAAACACCGTTCGGCGAGACCGGATGGAATTCGATTTTGAAATCTGTGCTAGGGAAAGCGCTTTTTGCATGCAATCGGTGATAATTTTGATCACCATTGCAACAGTTGTGTAATTTTCAATAGTGACCTATTGAAAATTTATGCGGTGTTCATTTTAGCAGATTCGTTTTGCTTGTAAAGAATTAAAATCTATCTGCTATTAACAGAGTTATAAGTGGTCAATACCTGACCACTTTTCGTAATGCAGTCGATTTTGGTTTTTTGACATTCCACCCCCAATATGTTGCCGAAAGACGTGATCCTATGTAAAAAAAAATCATCCGGAAAAAGTTAGATGAAACTTCTAGAGGAAGGTGACCAAATTTGTCGCGATAAATAAATCCAGAAAAAGCCAATAGAAATTTCCTGGGCAAGTCGGAAGAAACTTTCAGAGAAAGTTTAGAGAAACTTCCAGAGGAAGTTAGAAGAAACTTGGAAAGCAACCAGGATAAATCGTAAGAATTCTACGGTGGAAGTAAGAAGAA